ATTATATAAAATTCTGAGGGTATCTGCTTCTGAAAAATCGGCGTAATTTTTAAACTTCTAGTTGGCTTTATACCGTACATATCAGTCCATGTATGCACATATATCTTATACTATATATACAATAGTTTGGGAACGAAAATGGTTGGAATCGATCCACAATTTACTTCAGCGCCCTTCTACTATACCCTTTGATGAATATAAGATATTTGCAGATATCTTAATATTTAAAATTGCATGGAAATATCTACCAGAGAACACTTTAATATAGCAACATAGGTAATTGCAATCAGCTCAGACCTTCCTTCCCCTAGCATAAGTATACCCATTATAGGGACTTTAATTGTAATATAGCTAAATGTGAATGAAATGATAACTTCGGTGCTTCTGGTTATCATTTTCAATATTTTATAGCTTATGTCGCATACATCTCAGTAGAAAATGTCCGAATCAAATAAGGAGGAAATATTTCGATTAGTAAAAATCCATGATACTATGTATGATGAGTGTAGTATTTGTGTCACACACGGAGATTTTAATATAAATATCTCGGGATGTAGCAATGGAACTAAAAGAGGCTATTATCAATTTTATATACTATTAAAATACTCCTTATGATTGTAATCCATTCTCGGTTGCTTCGAATACTCACTGTTGAATTGTTACGCAACATTTTTATTCACTTGCAACAGATGCTACAGAGTATAATAGTATTGTTCACCTAACGGTTGTTTGTATCACCTAAAACTAATCGAGATCCGTGTGACTGTCTGTCCGTCTTTTTTGAAAAAATGGGCGTGGCACATCCTCTAAGAGGTTTAATGTACATATCTCATAAACCATTTAAAATACTATAACCATATTCGCTCAGCACCCTTACCGACGCTGTCAATTTTAAATTCCACTTACCAGTATGCAAATCAATTTCGAACTTCAGGTTTACTTTATACCGTATATATCGGTCAATCAAGTAAGTTATCTTAGTGAAAACGAGAGAGCGTGTTTTACTAATAACAATGTATCTTGCGCCTTAAATGGATAAAATCGGGTGACAAGTTGCCCTATCATCGATACACGAACATCCGGCTGACTTTAATCCATATATGTATTTTGGTAATGGTAAGTGTACCCTAATGAAACTCAGGAAGCATATTATTGTATGTGGCATGTCAATATTATGGGGTATTGCCAAAAATTGATAATACATCCTTTCCCGTTTTTATAATGATTTTCCCAAAATTGTATATGTTTTATAAAAATTTTACTTTAAAAACCACTTGAATACAAGATATAAGCCTATTCAAATCAATACTTTTAAATTTTTTACTTTTGTTTTGAGGAATACCCGAATTTTTCAAATCATCAGCTGTACGATTTTCAGTGAAAACCTCTTTGACAAACTATGAGCAATGCTGTTCGTGTGATATAAAAAGGGCAAAAGCTTAAAAAGCTAAGTTCCATTGCACTTTGATCTCAACTCTATTAAAAATGAAAACATAGATACAATTTTTAATATGGCTCAAAAAAATTAGAGAGACCTGAAAACTTGATTTTACTTGCTGTACGATTTACAATGAATTTAACTGTACACGAATTACCCCACTCCCATATACTTCATATAATGATTTTCGTTTTTCTAACAATTGCTTCAACTATATTTTCAAGTATACCTGAGTAATGTTAAAATTAATGCAATCAGCCCTTCCCTTTCTCTGCCCCAATATAGCATCCATAATAATTTCTGACTTTCCACCAAAAAAATTTGTGATATTTTAATGAAATTAAATGGACAAGTTTCCTTGATTTTATGTGGTTTACCACTGAATATGAATGAAATTGGTCTAAACCTCATACTCCTAATATAAAGAATTTCGATCCACTGGTTGACGTTTTCCACATCAACTCAATATACAATTATTATGTACATTTAGCCGCTTCGGTTGAGTTTATATCACATATTTCTCATTTAAGGATGATTTTAATATAATTTTTGTTGTAGCGATTAAAATATATTTATAAAACTAAGTGAGTACATGACATTCAATATAAATTAATAAGATAACAAATTTTATTGTTATCTATTCACGTTTTCGTCGAATAATGAATGTTGAATTATTTCACAATATTTTTTATTATAAAGTTTTGCCAACATTTCGCCGACCTTGATCTTTGCAAGTTGCAAGAGTATAAAATGGTCCGAACTTAGCCCTTCCTTACTAAGGTTTACTATATTTACTCCTATATAGGTTTACTTACTCAACTTTCTCAGTTAGACATTTTTTGTTTGTTTATTTTTTGGTAATATATCTTTATTTATTTAATTTGCCTGTTCAAATCTGATGATAGGACATTGTCTGTAGGATGAGGCTGTAGTCCGATTTTTTTATTTTGAAGAATGACTATTAGAGTATCCAGAGAATTTCATGTATCAAACCAGGCTTTCGAAAGGACAGGCCCGAAATCAATTCATCGCGTCATCCTGATCTGTTTAATATTCAATGGTTTATAGTTTTAAAGCCATGTTTTTGTACAAGTATGTTGGGTACCGTTCTAGAACAAAGAAGCACCTCATTAATATTTTCTAAATTGCATATTTTAAATACTTGATACATCGACCGACAAAATTTATTGTAATATTGTGTTTATTTCATTTCAATGGCAAAACTTTTTCATTTTCGCATCTGGCAAGGTCAACTTATTTTGGGCGTCATAATATCATCAAGAAGTGTAAAAACAGTCATGATATATTCGTTACGTGTGTGGTGATTTAACGAAAGCAAAGCATCAACGAAATATAACAGAATTGATTAAGAAAGCTTACCACGCTTACTTCGGTGTAAAGGTTAGTGATCAGGACAATCCTTAGGCGCCACACAAAGTGTGCTTTCAGTGTATTGAGCTACTAATAAAATGGTATACCCTACTATGGTGAGAACAGAAAAACCATGGAGACTACTGTTACTTTTGCTCTTGCGATGTCAAGGGTTTAAATTCGAAAAATAAACATACTATTCAGTCTCCTCATTTACCGCCTGGTTAACGACCCGTACCTCATGGACCAGGATTTCATTTCCTCCACATCATCCAATAACAATCATCAGACGAAAGTTCAAAGGAAACAACCGCTGAAGACTTATTCAATCCTGATATAGGCCAACCTCAACAGTTTATTCAAGCTTAAATTAATGACTTAGTGAAAGACTTAGGTATATCGAAGGATGGTGCACAAATCTTAAGATCATGATTAAAAGACGAAATTCTGTTGGCTCCAGAAATCTTCCTTTCGCGTTATAGGCATTGTTGCGGAATATTTTTTCAAGATAGTTGACTGGTGTATTGTAATACTATTACTAAAGTAGGCATGAATTTGGGAGCTAACAATTATGATTCCACATCATGGAAGTTATTTATCGATTTTTCTTAGAGAAGTTTAAAGGGCATCTTGTTGCACAATGGTAATACTTTTGCCTCGGTTCCTGTATGAGAATCTTGTGCTGTTGCTAAATAAACTAAAGTGTAGCGAAAATTGTTGGCAACTCTGTGGATACATCAAAAGAATATCCATGCTTTTGTGTCAGCATTCTGGATTCACAAAGTATTAATGATTTTTGTACGAAGTGGGACAGTCGAACACGAAATTGAATTACGCTGAAAAAGAATGGCCATTTGAAGAAAGACTTGTACCGGGACAAAAAAAAAAGTACAGCGGGATGCAATAGTTGACCCAAAATTAGTTTGCACACATTAAGTCAAGATTGCTAAAGCAGTTTGTCAAAGCTATAAATAAACAAGGTGACTGCCTTAAATACCTGTGAAATTTATGAAGCTAAACTTAGGATGAATCTAAAGTATGGAGTTCTTTCGTAGAAGACATATACCTTTTTCTTGATAACAATAAATCTCCAAACAAAACAGCAATTCTAGCCAAAATTATCGAAAATGATAAAAAACTGGGATGCAATATGAGAATTAAACTTCATTTCCTGGATTCCCACATTGCATATTTTTCAGAAAAGTTGTCAGCGAGGAACAGGGAGAGAGGTTCCATCAAGATATAAAGGAGATAGAGAAACGTTACCAAGGAAGATAGGATACAGTATTCCCTGGTTATAAGCATTACCCGCTTATAAGCACTAAAATTTTTGGTCCCGTTTATTCGTCATTTAAAGCTTGTGTAAGATTTTTCGATATAAGCATTCCCCGGTTAATAGCACCTAAAATTTTGGTCCAACTTTCAAGTTTTCTTGTTGAAAATTCTCATAGAAGCACATGCGCAAACATTTTGTAGGAAAACAAAACTTAAACGCTTACTGGTAAAAAAACAAAGTAGACTGGGATCGCTCTTTCTAAAATGTAATCGATAAGAAAACTGATTATTTCAAATGGCAAATCTTTATTTACAATATAAATATTATTAAAAGGCAAAATGGGTAAAAGAAACTGTTTAAGGCAAATTTCTTCTGAATTAGAAACTACGGACAAAAAGAAAAAAAAAACTTAGCCTTAACCCTTATGTTAGTAACCGGGTACCCACCACGGTGTATTTGTGTGAATAGCTTAAGAAAATTCAATATTTCTTTTTAAGCTCTCAAATCGTCGTTTTTTAACTTAAAAGAAAGCTATTTGTGAGTTCATTTAATTGATTTATTTTTTATTTATTTTTTTAAATAAGCTTAAACTTTAGCCATTGCCCTATTAGCAACCGGGTACCCGGGTACAGTGGAAAGCATAGGAAGAAAATTTTATATAATTTCTATTAATGCATGCAACTAAATTTTATTAAAAAAATAAAGAAATATTACACTTTTTTTATAATTAATGACATTGAACACATTGTACACGATTAACGAGTGCTCGTCACACACAGGTTGGTGGCAATTGGCACAGGCCTTACGTGTCTTTCGCCGTCTTCTTATTGGCAAAGCATTGCAGACATGACAAGATCCTGTTACTTTTTTCTTTCCGGTTTTATCTTTTGGAGTCTCTGGACCAGGATTTATCACGACAATCATTTTATTATTTTCATAATAAATTATATATGACGCAAGTGAAGAAATATCTAGCATGTTGAAGAACATTGCCATTGGCCATCTCGAAGATCGTCGTTGACTGATGTATCTCCGCACCATTTAGTCCATTGTGTCAACTCCAACTTTATATTTATTATTTTTGATTTTCGTTTAGCGTCATCACCAACTGATATATCTGAATGCATTGTAGATATCAGAATGACAGCTTTATTTTTTTTAGGAACGTAGGAACACATGGTAACCTTTTCGTGAAATCCAAAAACTGTCGAATACTGCTCCCGTGTCTTATTTGCTCCCATAACACTAGGGATGTAAGGTTTATTCTTTTTTAGCGTGCCAACAATGGTAATATTCCACGACAACAAATGTTTAGCAACTGGTACAGTAGTAAAGAAGTTATTCATGCAGATGTTTCTACCACTACCTCGGTACGGAGCCGCCAATTATTTCTGTCTTTCCAGTGTACATAATCCCTTGCAAAGGATATGCGTTTTCTGCATCACCACCAGATCTTTATACCATACTTAGCTTGGTTCGATGGAATATATTGAGTAAATCCAGTACGGCCATGGTAGGGATAAAGCTGTTCATCAATGGTCAAGTTAGCTGTTGGTTTGTATATTATGGAATCTCGTCAATCCCATCGTCGCGCGATACAGCGGATAAGAATTGGAGTGCCACATGTCAAATGTATGATCTGTATTCGAATTATTTGCTCCAGCACAAATCAAGATACCGAAGAGCGAATAAATTTCGGGTATCGTAACGGGCTTCCATTGATGCTGTGAGTTTGGATGGTTAGCATTGTACTCTAGGAGAATTGTTTCAGCTTTTTTATTAGTGTGACGGACGATTATATCAACCATTTCGTAGGTAAACATTTTTTTGAAAGTCTCGCTAATTGACAACTTTTCCGTACAGCGATTAGGCCCACTCCGCTGGCGTACAGCATTATGAGCTGCGGTCTGATGCTGAGTTGGTGGAGTTTTGTTCCACACTGTTTTATCTTTGGCAATAAAACTCCCAGATGATTCTTGAGCTCTTCCTAAAATAATAATAACCACATTAATTAATTATTTAAGAAAAAAAATTATTATTTCAATCATTGCTAAGAACAAATATTTTACTACCTTCTGGCTCAGCTGTTTCTACTTAATTGTCATCATCCTCACTCTCGCTACTCTCAATTTCTTCTTCTTCTTCTACTGCTGAATTCTCTTCAGCGATTTCTTCTGTATCTTCAGAACCTTCTGGTTCGCCACGCACTGAATTACCTTTTTGATTTTGATGTCTAGCTCTATTTGCTGGAATCCAGTCTTCGTCATCGCTATCAGAAACCCTACTCGAATCACTGTCGTGTTCTCCAAGTAATTTCCTCAAGTACTCATTCCTTTCGGTTGCACTTAACATAATAAATTAAATATTATGTGATATACTTGTACGTCGTAAATAATTATAATTATATTACACAAAATTGTAATTAAAATATTGACAAATGTTAAATATACAAGGTGCTTTCCAAAGTAAAATTAAGGAATTAAAAAAAAAAGACAGAATAGAAGGTTTTATCGGCAAAATCAATTAATTTTATTCAAATTAGTCTCCTTCTGCTTTAACACAGCTTTTTGCTGGTCCAAAAGCATGTCGAATGAGTGTTTTAGCTCGTTGCCCGGTATGGCCGCCAGTATGCCGGTGCAAGCCTTTTGAATGGCCTCCACGTCTGCATAACGCTTTCCTTTCATCGGCAAATGCATTTTTTTGAAAAGGTAGAAGTCGCACGGTGCCATATCAAGTGAATACGGGGAGTGGTTGATTGTTAAAATGTGATTTTTGTCAAATAATCGGCCACAAGCGTCGATCTATGAGACGGCGCATTATCGTGCAACAAACGCCAACTTCCATTTTCGCGATATTCGGGCCGAACACTCCAAGGTAGAAAACCGCATTAACGTTTTGGCCGGGTGGAACAAATTCTTTGTGGACAATACCCTTGGAATCATAAAAACAAATCAGCATTGCCTTCACTTTTGACTTCTCCAGGTGCGATTTTTTGGGTTTCGGCTCATTTCTTATTTATGTCCTCACGACCACTTTGAAAACGTTTAAACCACTCATGCACTCTGCTACAGGATAGGCAATCATCGCCATAAACTTGTTTCATCAATTGAAACGTTTCGGTAAATGTTTTACCAATTTTAAAACAAAATTTAATGTTGGCTCTTTGTTCGAAGCTTATTTTCGCACCGATGACAAAAACATACTGACACTTAAAACGCAATAACTTCACTTCCAAAAGATGAAATGTCATGAAATTTTTGCTGGAAGTCGATAAAGGATAGCAGATTCTAACGCACTAGTCGACATATAGATGGCTACTAGAGTTTACTTTGTTACTTTTGTACTGTTTACTGTAGAGCGCACCTTGTGTGTAACATTTACTTACCGAGCATAGTTAGCTCTCGATAATTGTTCCATAGCTTTATTTTTCACTGTCAAGAGAACACCAAATGAAACACGTCTGATCCCACCAAAAATCTCTTAAATACAAAAAAATGCTCGAATCTAGTGCGCGATAGAAAACAAAGAAATAACCTTGAGTTTTTCTTTCTCTCTCGAACGGCATCTGCTCGGCTCCGAACAATAAAAGCCGGCCGACTACCTGGGGTGTCCCAAATAGGTTTCAGATGTCATTCACGATTCTTCGTTGTTATTTTTTTTCTTTAAGTTGTCACTAACTATTAATAATTGAAGAAAAAAAATTTTTCTAAAAAGAAACAAAATTTTCAATACTCAGATCGTGGACCGGTTGCTAAAAGACGTCGGTAAAGTTGGTTACTAACAAAAGGGTTAAGTACAAGTATTCGCGCGACACGAAAAGGAAAATTTGTCAACGTTTACTGGTAAAAAAAAAAGTAGACTGGGATCACTCTTTCTAAAATGTATTCGATAAGGAAACTGATTATTTCAGATGGCAAATCTAGAAGAAAACTAGAAACTACGGACAAAAACAAAGTTTGCCTTAAGTACAAGTGTTACCGCGACACTATAAACATTATACCGACCGACTCAGCATTTCAATGGATATTTATTTTACTATAATCATTTGGTTTAACCAAATGCGGACATCAGGAAATATCTGAAAATATGGTCCGTGAAAAAGCAAAGCAATAGGCGTATCAACGGCGAAGAGTTTTTTGACTAAACTTTTACAAGCTATACCCATTTTGACCATGGCTTGTCTTGCTATGGGGAACCTAATGATGAAAACATAAATGCAGGAATACTTCCGATGAAAGATACGTCTGAGGAGGAGGTGGAAATTCAACTGTGGAAGTTATGAAATCTAAAAAAAAATTTTTTGATTCTATACATGTTCTTCGTAAAACATTTAAGCCTCTAAACAAATTTATTCAAGAAATTGAAGATATGACCACTATTGTTTTAAATGGAATACGATGAATATTCAATCAAAAAAAACAGATTTAAAAAAAAAAAATCAAGTAATAAGTAAATTCTTGTAGGTAGGTAAAACGGCTGTCTTTCGACCCATCTAGGCCTTTAGGAAGTCCATTGTGATACCACCGGGACTGTGATCCCCTCACTCTATTGGCTCCTCTCTGAACCACCCGTACTTCTGATGAACTTCAGCAGTGAGACAAGTTTTATCCGTGCTACCTCCGAGACGTCGTCAAGAAACCCACAACCGATGGCTGCGATTCTTTCGTATATAGTGCTGCACAGTCGCAAAGAAGATGTTTAATGGTCTCCTCCTCTTCTACTTCCTCACAGCTTCTACAATAGTCGTTATGTGGCGTACCAAGTATACTTGCATGTCTGTCTATTAGACAGTGGCCTGTTAGTACTCCTACTAGAGTTCTTATATCATTCCGTTTAAATTTTAACAGTCGGCATGTGCAGCTCATATTCCATGCATGGCACGTTTGCCTACTAGTTGAGCAAGTCAGGGACTGATTCCACTGGCACTCGGCTATGTTAATGACATGTTTGTCGATTAAGTATCTACAAGTAGCCAGAGGCATATATATGTCCTCCTTACCAGGATCTGCTACACAGTTCCCGGGGATGTCAATGTGTCCTGGAACCCATTGCAGGTTTACCGTTAAATAGGATGTCAGATCCGCTAGAAGATCATGGCATTCTTTCACTGTCTTCGACGTAATCCTATGAGACATCAGAGATTTCAAAGCCGCCGGACTGTCTGTATATATAAATATATTCCTTGTTGTGAGCACACTCCTTGTCAGTACAAGAAGGCTTTCTTTAATAGCGGTGAACTCCGCTTGGAAGACACTGCAGTGGTCTGGTAACCGGAAGGCGATTTTGGTATCTAGTTTAGCTGAAAAGACACCGCCGCCTACTCGGTTATCCAGTTTGGAACCATCCGTATAGAAACTTATCCCTGTTTCCTTGTCCACTACGCCCCTTTCCCACTCCTCTCTGGATGGGAAGGCAATCTTGGGGACCGGACTTAGATTTAGCTCTGAAAGATTGCGAAAATCCGTGGAAGAAGCGGGAACCTCCTAAGTATCATAGAATGGCCCTTGTTACTAGCGACTAGTAAGGAGGATTCCCCAAGTCTCAGAGCTGACTTCGCTGCCATTTGCTTGCAAAACAGATCTGTTGGCAGTAAGTGTAAAATTACGTTGAGTGCCTGGCTTGGCGTAGTTCTGAGAGCTCCACTGATGCAAATACTTCCTGCTCTTTGTATACTTTCCATGCTTCTAATCGCATATTTCTTTCCTGTAATCGGCCATCATACAAATATACCGTAAGTCATGGCCGGCCTTACAATTGCTGTGTAGAGCCAGTAAGCTAAGCTGAAATAATTGACCTGCCCAAGAGCATCTTTTCAATTAATTTCCGGAGAGGCTCAGAGATGTCCAGATCTTTAAGCGCGCTCAATACGACCTTCGGCTGGATATTTTTAAAAGCACCTTCTATGTCTAGGAAGGCTACGAGGGTGTATTCTTTTATCTCCAGAGACTTTTCAATCTCTGCTACCACTGAGCTTAATGCCGTTTCTGTGGATTTACTCTTAGAATACGCATGCTGCGAAACTGCCATTTTTTCTGGGTTTTGTTATGTATTATGTTATGTACCCCTTATATGTACTTCTATTAGTCTCTCCAACGTTTTTAAAAGAAATAATGAAAGAATGATTGGTCTAAAATCCTTTGCGTTAATGTGTGAGATTTTATATCCAACACTATGTCTAGCGGAGTGAAATCTGGGCCCACTTCACTCCCCAGTATATGCTATCTTATGTGGTTCTCGGAACTGTCTGGGAAGTGAGTATCCATTCGTAGGCCTAGAGTCTCTTCACTGGATACCGTCCAGCAGTGGTCTGGTTTCAGAAGGTATCCGATGCTATGTTTCGACTGTGTCATTATTTTTCTAAGTCGAGACGCTTCTGCCGTATTCTCGATGTCATTACAAAAAGATTTCCACGAATTTCTTTTTCCTTCCTTACCTCCTTTTTATATGATGGTAGGAGGTTATAATAGTTATCCCACTCTTCTTCTCTGTGGGATAATTTGGCGAAATTGAATTGCTTCCTGCAATCTTTCTGCATCTTCTTAAGTGTGGGAGACCACCAAGGGGGCCCAATTCTTCCCCTACTGTTGGTAAATGGGCAAGCCACCTCTAGTGGTTGACGACAAGAATCTGTGAACTGTTTAACGAGGATGTCTAGGCCATCTTTGTTCTCTGGTTGAAATGGTGGAATCATAGGAATACGCTTTTTTAGCTCCTGCATGTGCAGCTGCCAGTTCGTTTTCCTACGATTCCTAAATTATAAATTCTTGTAAAAATGCATACTTTTTATACAAAATGGGCAGCTTTTGTTCTCTTTTCTTTATTCTTTTGAATGTTATAGAGACTATAACTGTTTGTTATCATAAATTTTTAGTCTGTTTTATTGCATATAAATTCGATTTGAGCTTTTAAAATATATGATTAGTTTTTATTCATTTAAATTTGTTTGTTCTGGCATATGGTAAAACTTTTTGCATATGCACCGACGATGCCGGATATTTAATATAAGGACTCTCAGTGCTTTAAAGCGGGGCTTTTCTTATAAGCACTAAATTGCGGGCATTTTTAATAGTGCTTATATCCGGGGAATATTGTGATAGCATGATGGCTGATTACTGCTAGACCTTGAAGACGGACACGCTTACAACAATTTACAAAAAGAAAACTACAAAACGCAATTTACTGGGAAAATTAGGACGATTTTAATAAAAAAAACGAGTGTTTAACGTAGATTATATTTATACTGCGTTGTTTTTTTTATGAACAACTTAATTTTGCAAAGTAATTTTCTAATATAGTTTCAATAAATATTTTTTCAGTATTAATGGCAGTTTCTATAAAACTCTTCAAACACACTTTCCCTAAAAATCTGTAACGTGTAGCACAAATGTGGTTTGCTAGGTTGCGTTCCGGTAATTTCGATGTCCAAGATGCACCACGCGTCGGGAGGCCTGTCGTCGAAAATTGCGACAAAATCATGGAAATAGTGGAAACAGACCGTCACTTGAGCACTTATTTAATTGCTGAGGAACTAAAGATAAGCCAGAAAACCGTGTGGAACTATTTGCATAACCTTGGATAACGCAAAAAAACATGATGGACCGAATTTGATTGGATTGTGACCAGCGATGAAAAATGGGTCACTTACGACAACATCGAGCGCAAACGGTCGTGGTCAAAGCTCGGGGAAGCGGCCCAGACGGTGGCCAAGACCAGATTGACGGCCAGAAAGGTTTTGCTGTGTGTTTGGTGGGATTGGCAAGAAATCATCTACTACGAGCTGCTCCCCTATGGCCAAACGGTCAATTCGGCCCTCTACTGCCAACAACTGGACCGCTTGAAGGCAGCTCTCATCCAGAAGAGGCCATATTAGATCACCTTTTACTTGACCTAATATATCTTTAGAGCGTTACATCTAGTATATTGTGGCTTAATGTCCAACGGATAAAATCGATTCATACATTCACATTATACCATATGTATACGTATACTAGCCCTGATAAGTCTACGCTCTTTTGCAAAATAAATATTTCGTTTCAGTTCTACTTATTGTGTCGTACACCGGATAAATTTAAATAAAAACTAAAAGGGAAATTAAAAAGGATCATAGGCAAAATATTATTAAATTGCACAATAAAGATCTAAAATAACCCCAAACTAGCAAAGAACATTGGTAGAAATTGCACATCAGATCGGACAATTATTCAAAACTTTGCAAAACAAAAAACAAAAGGTGTTGACAGTTGTATTAGGACGTTATGAAGCAGCCACAACCTCAGAATATCCGCTACATGTCGTTGTCTTGCTGAGACCAAAATCCAACTAGTGCCCGACAAGATTATTAGCCTTATCGCACTAATGTCTATTGCACAGTGTCCTGTAAGAACCCCTACGATTGCGGCAAGATGAACTTTGTTAAGGGAAGGGAGTTGGGTAGATCTCCTGTTCTATTCTAGGTCAAAATAATCTCGTACAGGAGTTTATCGTCGAC